AACTGAGCTAATAGGCCACCGTTGATGTTTTCAAACGAATATATTATTATAATCTCCTAATAAAACCTGTATTTTTTAAGAGTAAAGAAGCATAAGAATAAAAAAATTGAACAACCCCTTAGGCCCAACATGATCTTGAGGTGTAAATCGGGCCATGCCACCCACAACCTCAACATGATTTTGAGGTGGCCCAACACGGCTCGACCCAACCTGATGGTCCATTGGCCGTGTCGAACTGGGCCAGCATGGCCTGCACTATTGTTCCGTGGTCCATGGGATGGCCCATATATTTTTTATATATATATTTAATATTTTATGTATTATATATTATATAAATTATAATTATATAATAATATATAGTATATAATATATTAATAAAATAAACAATTGTTTTCAATTTTATTTAATCATTGTATATATAAGTAATTGTATACATCAAAATTCATATAAAATTAAAATTTTAAGTTTTTTTCATTTTTTTATATAAAATAGCTTTGGCCTGGTCCACGGCTCGACCTGGCCCAAGGCTCGACCCACGGACCAGCTTAGCCCATGGCTCGACACAGCATGGCACGGGCTTGGGCAGGCTTGGGCCATGGACAAAGCCCCCAAAATATCCCAGGGGAGGGATGCACAACCCGAGACGGCTCGTGAGACAGCATAACCTAGCTTGCACTTTGTGCCATGCTGGCCATGTCATGTAGGCCTAGCACAACCCATTTTACACCTCTAGGTCTAGAATTGGAATCAGAATGTGCCATTTTGATTTCAAATGCGTAGTTGGACATAGAGGTGTAAATTGGGTTGTGCCGCCTGTGGCCCGACACAATGGTTCACGGGCCATGTTGGGCTTGAGGTGTCAGATTCGTGGGCTGGGCCGACGCGGCACAACCAAGTGGGCCATGCCGCCCATGGCCCTTGTGCCAGCACAACCCATATATATTATATTTATATATAATATTATATAAATTATAATTATATAATATTATAATATATAATATATTAATAAAATAATTAATTATTTTCATTTATTTATTTATTTATATATAAACAATTGTATACATCAAAATTCATATAAAATAAAAAATTTAAGATTTATTTTTCAATTGTTTAAATAAATAGCTTTGGCCTGGTCAATAGCCTAGCCTAGCCTAAGGCTCGACCCAAAGACTAGCCCAACCCGTGGCACAACACGGGCCCATATGGGCTCGGGCCGTTGGCCATGCCGAGCTGATCCCCTAAAATATCCCAGGGGAGGGAAGCACAACCCGCAATGGCCTGCAAGCCATGCCGTGCCGGCCTAGCACGACCCATTTTACAGCTCTAGTTAGATAGAATCAGACTCCCATTCCTATTCCTAGTGGAATGGCATTCCCCCATTTGAGGGGATGGCCATTTACTTTTCTCCATTGGGAATGAAATCCCATTCCAATTGATTCTAATTCCAGCAGATTTCAATTGCAATTGGAATTCTATTTCCAACCGTGAACCAAACATATCCTTAATTCTCTTTCATAAAGGAGGTACCAAAAAAAGTTAGCCAATAAATTATAGCTATTAAATTCTCATAGATTCAAAATTAGCTTGAATCCTAAAGCTTAAAATGACTAGTGCTAGCAAGTTAACCCATGGGATTTAATAGGGAGATATTAGGCTCCGTTTGGTTTATGGGAAGATTCGGGTGGGATGGAATGGGATGGGATGGGAGAGTGTAAAAGGGATCGAAGGACCGAAGTATTGGAGGGAATCTACTGTTCATTCTCTCATTCTCTCTCTCCCTCCGTTCTTTCTTTTATTTTCTATTTCTCCTCCCTCATCCAACTTCCTACCACATTCGTCGTCCCTATTTCTTCCTCCTTTTCGTTGCCGTTGCAGCTCTTAGCAGTGGCAACCTTAATCCTCCGATTACTGGCAGTGGCAACTCATCTGCCACATTCTTTATTTCCTGAAACCAGCGAAAGCAGCGAATGGACGAGGCATGCAGCGGCCTGCGAAACTAGCGCCCTGCGAAACCAGTGAAGCAACTATCACAACACCAATTGAAACCAATAAAGCTCGAAACCGTGACAGAGGACGAGGCATGCGGGAGGGAAGAGGAAGACGAAGAAGAATACCAAGGTCCAGTTGAATGGACGAGGCATGCGGGAGTGAGGAAGGAGATAGGTTTTCTTGCGTTTTTCTACCGGGGTCGCACTGTTTTGGTGCGCATCCCACATTTTTCTCATCCCATCATCCTCTTTCCCCCAAAACAAATATGAGAAAAAGGGAATATTTTTCATCCCATCCCACAAATCAAACAGAGTCTTACATAATTGAGTAGGGAAAATACTATAAGCCTTGACTATCAAGGGAGGGATTGATAGAAATTTAAGAATGATCTTATTAGAAAGAATAAATATAGATTTTATGAGAGATAATAAAGACCAATAAAGGTTTTTATTTTAACTTATAATTTTTTAATAATTTAATTTAAAAATAAATAACTACATATATAATAAATGAAATGATAAAAAGGTCAGTGTGAGGTGTGAACTCCTTGGTGAGAGGACCCTTCCACCTCCTCTCCTTCATCTTTATAATATAGATATTAATTTCAGGGAGAGTGATGTTACAAAAAGTTGGAGCTCCAATAGCTATTCCAGAATCCAGCTCAATGACTCAATCCACTTTCCAATGGTTCCCTCCAAGTACATATACAACAATAGTTTATACTTTATAGTTGTGGTTTTTCAATGTAAAGGAATGGGCGAAAAATATAGAACATGGACAGATCTAGTTATCGTACAAGAGAATCGATCCAATTCAGACTTGGGACTTGATTTCACAATGCAAAAGCTACCAACTTTTGTGAAGGTTCGTATTTATAATGGGCCAAAACTCAAAAGTAGATTTCGAAATCAGAGCACATGCACCGTGGCCCAAAGAATTTCAGAGCGCAAAGCTACAAACCAAATAACTCCTGCTGTGCAAAGCGCAGAGCCACAGACAAAGGCTTTAATTTTTAAGCCTCTTTTTAGTTCAGGTGAATTCCAATAATGCACGTAATATAAAACCAATTAGACGAAGACAATTCTCTTCCTATCAAATTAATGAACCGAACCTCCTCTTACTCTCTTTCTCCATAAATTAAATAAATGAATGAAGCCCCACCATGGTTTTGAAAACCGGACCGGACGGACCAGTTGACTCGGGAACCAGTCAGACATCTGGTTCCATTTCACCCTAAAACCACTCTTGGGCCAAAAACCGTTGATTTGGTCAGCAACCTGCTGACCTGGGTGCTTGAACCTTCAACCCGTTATACCGGACAATGAGTTTTGGCCTTTTTTTAATTTTATTTATTCATTTTTTTAAATCAGAACAAAACACCCATTTGAACCAGACGGTCTTACCATTTGGCCCAGGAACTAGTGGTCAAAATGGTTTCATATCTGGTCCAGTTTTTAAAACCTTTGCTTCTCTCTCTCTCTCTCTCATCCTAAGTTCATCCAATTCATGCACAAACTTCCATTTTCATCACTTCTACAAGGGTATTGAAGCTAAAACCATATAGATGTAGCATTAAACTTGCTATTATAGTTATTGCACGAAAAAATCCAACCATGGAAAGAACACTTTGAGGAAACAGATACTATATAACTTGGAAAGAATTCAACTATTTCGTTTTGTGGCATCTGCAACACTAGTCTAGGAAGGCGAAGAACTACCATAGGTCCACCACGAACCTTTTCAAGAGCAAATATTATCTTCAATGGCCAACCTATCAAAGCCTGCAGCAGAAACCAGCCAAGAGAATGAAACGATTAAATGGGTTAATTTAATTGGCAACAATGATACTATGGACCCTTTTGACAATTTACTTATACTAATGAACTGTTGACCTTTTAATCCGTAGTAATATCTCTGTATCTGATCTAGCACCGGCATCTATTGACTATTGCTAAGTATGCCAAGTTGGGAGGTGAGGACCAGAGGAATGTTACCTGTCAACAAGTCTTGGCCACATATATTTCATTCTCTAGCTATATTCAATTTTGGAAGTAGTTAAGCTGGTTCAATCATGTTAGCATCAACTCTTTGGACTCTAGTCTCTAGGGAAACATCGCTCTCTTTCCCTTGCATGTATGGAGTATGGAATTGACATGGATGAATTATTAACAAATAACTCAGACCGTCATCCCCCCAAAAGAACCAAAAGAAAAGCGATAAACAACAACTAGCGTTGATTTGATTTGAAATCCTTCAGAAGTAAAATGACCACTTACTCTTTGTCTCTCGTCCCTGATAACGACTTGCAATGATGGGATTTAAGTCTTTTTAACCAAATGAATTGATTACTCCCTCTCACTCCTCACCCAATGACAACTGGATGTGATTGTAACCTTAAGTCCTTTAATTGAAAGCTGAAACCAAAAAGAACCACTATTCAAGTAGAGAGTTGATGGATGATGGGTCTCCGCCCAGCCTATTATGTTTTCTTGGCTAGATTAAAATGGTCCTTCTCATTCTCAATTTGTCTTCACTCACTTTGCAAGTTATGGGGAAGCATATACTGGCATTGACAACTTACAAGTGAGCATAAAATACGATTCCAGAGAATTAAAAAAGGCAGAAATATTGAAGCATTCCATCTTTTTTTTGGGTAATAAAAGTATTCCATCTATTTAAACAAGCAAAGGAATTTTTGATTCAGTCGAAAATTTAAAAACTGGTGAGTAGGAATTGCTGATTGACTCAGAGAGAGAGAGAGAGAGACCAACAAATGAAGAGGATGGCGACACATAATAATAGCCAGTCCAGATCTGCTTGATTCCCACATCGGCTGCATTCACATGTATACTAGACAAGTGTTGCATTTCTATTGGGGATCTAGCAATGAATCTAGACCCAAACAAGGGGGAATATAGGCTATCTTTGGTTTTCTTAAATCGGGTACAAATCCCATTTAAATTGCTTAATGCATGTATTAACACATCCAACAAACCTGCATACTGATTCACAAAAATGAGGCACTCAAATATATAACTCCTCACCCCCTCCCCTGCCTCCCTTACTCAGAAAGCAATCTTGCCAAGGCTTTCGGGGCAGAGACTTTATTCACCCATGGCCGCATGTACATCTACAAATTCACTTCTTGACTCTGTTCTCTTCTTGCGAAAGATGAACATGAAGACAGTAATTCCTTAAGCTTGGGCTCCAAGCTCCAACAGCAGAGTGTGATTGATGCCATTAGATGATGGGCCAATAAACTGAACTGGACCTGTATCAATAAATATCAAGACACAATGAGCAATTAAAATGCTAGTACACAAACAGAAGATCTCTGTTTGCCAAGGATTACAAATTTAAAGTTGCATTCCTGCGCCCATGATTTAACGATGGATATGGCATTGAACAGAACAGGATGTAGCCGACCCCATATAGTTGGAACAAGGCTTAGCCGCTTAGATGATGATAATTGATGCATAGCATCTAAGACAAGACCAATTCAACTGGGTCAACTTGGGAGTCCCCAAGTAAATTACTTTCTTATTCTTTTCAACCAAAATTCTTGACATCTGTAATTTATCAGTGGCAAAATTGCCCAGAGCAAATCTTATAACATACCTGGACTGATGTATCGATTCTTGTAGGCCCACTCTTCCCTCAAGGATGCAAACTTCCTGAATGGTGCACCTGAAAATTTTTATTATAAAAAAAAAAGATTACTTAAACTTTTCAAGTTTGGCTTAAATCACAGTTCTGCAGTCAGCCTATAACATAGCTGAAGGTGCTTAAAAATTAAAATCACAATAATCATAGCAACTTGGGTACCAGAATAATACCACCAAATTGCTATCAAACAATATACGACATAGTGAAAACAAATTAAGAGAATATTAAAAAAAATACCTTCAAGTTCCACCATTGCCTTCTTGATCACTGGCTTGAATTTACCTGGAAACAGATTCAACTTTTAGAAAAGAAGATTAAAGTTCAAAGTAAAAAAGAAATAAGGCAATAAGAAAATTCAGCTCAATGTCCTTAACTGTAAATTCCCCTAAACGCCCTAGTAACTAAACACCGTATAACTAAAGTTCCCATAAGTTCAAATTCTATATTAGTTAAATTGAGTTAGCGTAGAATTCAATAGATCTTAGATAGAGGTTGGGATTTGTTTTTCAGCATATAGCATTGAGAACGTTTATATTCACTCTTTCTGCATTACATATAATTTTCCTTATCTTTTCAAAAGGTTTTCTTGGTCTAACCTGCATCCTTGCGCTGAAAAGGTGATTGTGTTCCCCTTTCCCCTTTATAAGTAAAATTGTGGATCTTAGTTGTTAAAGGAAGAACCGCACACCCCATTTCTGATAAACGGGGCAGACCCGATAGTTATTATTATTATTATTATTTTTTTTAAATCCTCTATATTCATTCTTTTGTTTGTAAGTAGCAGTCTTTTATCTTTTTACTGGGGTTCTGCCTGATTTATCAAAAGCAAGATGTTCCCAATTCAGCATTCTAAAATCTTCATTGTATAATTCCCTGTGATACTTTCCCCTTAATCCTGTAACTACGCTCTCAGATATTCAGAATCCTATGACAGTTAAAATTTGATCAATGTAGATGTGGTTAAATCTTGAGATGGAAATTAGAGATTATTCCCCATTATATGATGTCAAAAGGAATGAGGTTCATATACCATGTCTCCTCTCTACATCCATCAAGGATGTTAATGCAGTCCCACCAACAGTCCACTCTTCAACTGGAGCAGCCAAATTACCTACCTGGATATTCAATAATAGATATTAATCAAAAAATTTTGCTCAGAGATGATGATTGTCTCATTTGAACAGAATAAAACAACCATGACAGCAAGGAGAATGAAGAAATATAAGAATGACAAAAACAAAGGATGAAAGCACAAACCGAGGATATGAGCCCCGTCTTTCCAGAATGGAGGAGGGCACCAGCGCCATAACCAAGAGCATAGCAGTAGGTAGAATCAAAGTTTGTTGGCATACCACATCTTCCTTCATAACTGGAAATGGAAATAAAATATAGATAAGAATTCACACGAAAAACGAGGACTATGACCTTCTGGTTCTCATGTAAAGCATTGTAATGAATTATCTTGACCAATTCCTCAGATGTCAATCATATATTCATATTATAGATCATATGAACCAACAATGATCCCTCAAGATGGGTATGGCTCCATTACATATCTAGGGTACAATTGATTAGAAGATGGTTTTTAGCACTGAGATAATTACCCAAAAAAGTGGGACTGTCCTTTGAACTGGCCTTTATATGTACCCTCCTGCTTCCTTTTCTCCAACTCAGTCTCAACCATTTGTATGAGCATTTTTTCCGATTCAATTTTAGCAACCTAAATGAGTAAATCAACAAATAACAAAAACAATCACTAAACTAGATTAATTCCCACACAACTACATTAATGAAGTTGAAACAAATCAAACATAACCTAAAATAAACACCTGAACATTTCCATGTGGATCTCTTTCAAGCAATAATTGTTCTTGAATTGCTTTCGGTAAAAATAGAAAAAGCTGCTGAGATTGATCTCGGAGCTTCTTTTTCCACAGTCCATCTTCATCTATAACACCATGAGCTAAGATTTCATTCAGCTCTGCAATAAGCTGTTGCACCTGTAAGTGGCACAGAAACATCAACTCACCATAGATTTTATTCAGCTCACCATAGACTTGATATCTTCACCTATAGTGACACTTATGGGAACAGGAAAATAAGTAGTAAAAGTAAGATCCTTATTAATACCTCAGGAATGAAATCAATTAGGCCTTCTGGTATGAGTATAACACCATAGTTAAAGCCAAGTTCAGCACGTTTGCATATTATATCTGTGATATAGTCTGTAACATTTTTCAGTGTCTGCTTCTTAGCAGAAACCTGCATCAAGAAATTGTTTAATTAAAGAGCAGTGCAAAAAGGGACTTTTTAAATTATCTGAGAAAATACCATATCTATAATCTATTTATTTAAAAAAAAGTTGCATCAAGAATCCTGGTTGGCTCTACTACAAATTTCCAACCTCTAGCCACATGTACCTAGTATCCTAAAGAAGGTACTCCACTTGCTTGTTTCACTTCTTATAAACACAGTGTTTTAAAAGTGCAAGGCGCGAGGCGAACGCCTTTTTAAGCAAGGTACACAATTAAAAAAGGCTAAAAAATAAAAAAAAAGAAAAAAATCAAAAAATTATTAAACATAATATTAATAAAAATATAAACTTTAATTTTAAAATAAATGTTTTAAAAACCTATTATCTAATATTAAAATACATAAATATAACATGTAAAGCATATTCAAATGAGAGTTTAAAAATAAAATCAAATATATAAAACATTTTCAAGCACATAAAACTCACAATCACTTTTTTTCTCAATTGCATTACTTCAAGTAGCTAATGTGATGTAAGACATTACATTCCTGATTCTACAAGCTGCCTTTGTACCATGCCCCTGGAGGCAAACCCAAATAAGTCCATGCCCCCTGTGCCACCACCTATTTGGTAATGTTGTTCATTCATTCATCCTAATAAAACGTCTTCATAAAAAGCAATTCAAACTATAAAATCATTATTTTTTGTGTGAGAACTAATGATTTAAGACCTAACATGGACTTGTTTGGGCTTGCCTCCAAGGGCATGGCACAGGGGTCTGGGGGCGGAGCCCCCAGCCCAGCAGCTAGACACAAGAAAACAAAAATGTGTCAAAGTTTCAAAAGGTGCATGCCTGGGCTAAGGCGCAAGGTGCACCAGGCATGCACCTAGGACCTGGGTGAGGCACCTACCCTGAAATGCGCCTCGCCTGTTCACCTAGGCATGCCTTTTAAATCACTGTATAAACATGTTCTCACCTTAACTATTCAAGAAGATAGAGGGCAACAACAACCAAAATGTGGCTTGAGAAGAGCAAAACAGACAGTCTTCATGCAACCTCAACTGAATGCACGAAAGATTACTTTTTTACAAACAACGCATTGACATGAATGCTTGGTCTATTATTTAGAGGTAAGTAACAAGGCATGTAAGCCAGTAAAGAGATGGGGTGTCTAGCATTGTTGATGTGCATATATTATGCTTTATTAGATTGAGCTACATTATTCGCATGTAAGACTATTGCTCCATCATATCTTTTTCTTTTGGCCTATCTCATCTTAAGAATCTGGCATTTGAAAATTAAACAATCTACAGTGAACATAATTTAGCAAGTTCTATTAGTCTATCCTTCTCCAAGATGCTCATTGAAGCCCATTTAACCAAGTAATACATAGTCCATATATACTAATATTTTGGCTTGCATATGCTTAAAAAATAATGGCCCATGTAGTTTTATGAATCATGAACCATATTTTTCTATTTGGTTATACTATTGTATATTTTTTAGTTATATTTCTGCTAGCGCTTTACCATTTAAGCTAAATGCTCAATGCTTTTAGCCATTATTTGAACATCATGTTAAAACTTTTCAGTTTTACCTAGGGGCTTGATAATGGCTGAAGTTGCCGAACTGAGAAACTTATTGCTTTATCTTTTAATGGACAAAATAATTAAATAGTAAAATATTCAAGGGTATAATATTCCATCCAACTTCAGTTTCAGCCATTAAGGATCCCACAACCCCCATAGAAACATTCACTAAAAGACAAAGCAATAAGCTATTCAGTTCAGCCATTTCAACTGTTATCGAAGAGACCCTCATGCTTTTAATTATGGTAGCGTCCTGTTGCCAAGATTTTTGGGATTCCACATGCCAACATCTTTTGACACTTGAACACTTTATAGCAGTGCCACATACCAAGTAATATTGCTAACCACCTAGAGTAACTAAACTGTCCCAAACACCTACCAGGAAAAAAAATAAAGAAAACACACACACAAACGCAAAATATCTCCAGACCAAACCTCAATAAAGAGAACTCCATAGGTATCAATTCCAAAGTCCTTCAGGCCATTACCTGGCAATCAAAAAGGTAAAAAAAAGAGGCCATTACACAATGCAGGTCCCACTATCTAGGTTCATGGGAGGAGTGGACTGGATTAAGACCTAACCTCCAGCACTTTTTGCACGAAGTGACCATTCTGGACTACATTCTCATGATTGTCACCTCAAGACTTTCCCACCAGACCAAGCAATGCCCCTAGTTTCAAGTTGTTAACAATCTAAAAAAACATCAATCCCAAAAGCAATCATTGAAGGTTATAAAGCAGATTCTTGAAGAATGTACACATGAATTCAAAGCCAATGACTTAAACCAAAGAGGTCTTCACCATGAGATGTTAAGGGTATGAAGTTGTTGAGAAACTGGCGGTTCACATGTTCCCTTTTGCAATCATACACCTTCTTGCTATGGCAGTTCAATTATTCCATGTTTAAAGTTAATTCGACCATTCCATCCTCTATTCATTGAGTTGTTCAGGTGTGGACCTTCAGTCTCAGGAAGTAATATCATTTCTATTTGTGGTATGGTTCCCTTTGCAGTTTGTTGGAGTTTGTAGAGAGAGGAATTGGATACAAGTAGCTGGTCTCTTGCTCTCAAAGACATAAGTCCATTTAAATAAGAGATTTTATATTACTCAGACAAAAAAGTTTCTGTACTAGACAGAAGAACATTTGGGTGTAGAGGATAACATACTAGAAAGAAGAAATTACTTTTGTCTTTTTTGTGAATCCTTATAATTCAAAAGACTTTTTTTGGTTACTATTAGAAAAGGATTGCTAGGACCTTAAAATTCATGCGCAAAATAAGAGTTTAAAATGGGCTATGAAAGGCATTGTTGAGGAAGAGAAGAAGATAACTAGACCATCATAGAAAAGTAATTGTCTGGAAAATGAGTAAAATCCATCTTTAATAGCAACAGAAATATTTCATTCATTAAAGATAAAAAGAAGTATATTGGATTGAAAAATGTGAAACAACAACAAAAGAAAAGATAATGGTTGGTTGTTATGGGTTTTCAATTTGTGTGCCAGTTATTGATGGTATTTGAAGAAATCATATGCAATAAATTTTAAGTGCTTTCCATCCTATTGAAAATTACAGCAATGCTGACTATCATATGATTTTGGAAGAGATAAAGATCTTCGATTCCATTTAAATGCCTTGTAAAATTGGCAAAGGACACTTTGTTAGCTAAAACTGCAGAGTAGGGAATCTTTGTGTATTGACACTCACATTCTGCAAAGACTTGATGGGGGAAAATATTTGTTGTTATGCAGTCAAAGCAACTTGCATTGTAATAGTTAAAATGAGAAAACTAATTATACAGAGAAAGTACACCTCCTATGAAACATGAAAAGCTGGAAGCAACCAACTCATCTGAAAGTGAACCAAAGAAAACTTCACCATCTACCTCTTCACCAATAATTGTGATGTTTGGGTGAGTCTGCAATGCACACTCCAATGTAATGTGAGAAGCCGCACGCCCCATAAGCCTCACAACTGCAGAGACAGAGAAAATTAGGTATTACCTTAAAGAGACAAGCAAATAACAGGAGGAAAAAGACTTGTGCAGTACAAACAATCTTTGGACATGATGATTTTACATAAAATAATTACTGCCTATGTTACATGAACATGGGTGCAAAATTGTAAAGCTAATCTGCGAACTATAAGTATATACACAGATTATACACTGGATTATAAATATTACTTTCCAATTATGCAAGTAAGTTGTGTTAGTTTAGCTATACCCCATTGTTGATATCTAAAAACAGACATGTCAACAACAAAATAAAGAATAGAAAATCAAACATGACAATTGAAAACTCATAATGACTGTATTTAGAAAACCCACAATGTTTGAGGTTTAAGAGGTACTTTCTTCTTGAGCATTGTACTCATTCATGTTTCAACTTCTAATATTAATATTTATTTAATGGTATCAGTTCATAATTTGTGTACGGTTCTTGTCCAATAAAGTGGATACTGGATAAGCACCTAATCCATCAAAACATGGCATCAAAAAAAGGAGCAAGGATTTGGAAGAATTAACTCATTAGCCATAGCCATGGCCATCTCATGTCATATCTGGCACAGGTACTTGAAGTAGAATGAAGAGTCTAGGAATCATAGGTTACTAACAAAGCATGCTTACAAAATGGAGAAACAGGAATAAAATGTAGAGCTGAATCGGTTGATTATGCTAAATTTCAGAACCATTGAACTTACAGTGGTAGTATTTTCCAGTTGAACGAGCATCTGTCATAACATTACCTATCATTTCTGCATATATCTGCACAGCCAGAATAAAACCAGTACCAATAAAAAATCAATATATCAATGGCTAGTTTACAAGTTGCACAGGGGTGGAGTTAAATGCATCTGCAAGGACTTTGTTGCTATCACTTTAATACATAACATCAAGATCAATTTGGACACCATACAGCCTCTCACCCAGGATTCAGAAACTATCTTAATAAAAGGTTTAAAATGGCAAAAAATCATCTTCTTACATTGAGACTTCTGACAAAAAAAAAATCAAAACAACAAAGAAAAAATCATAGCATTAGTCAACTAGATAACGACACAAGTAATGAATACTGTCACATAAGAAGACTCCATCTTTCTCAATTGGTTATTTTCTTCACCACCAAAACCTACTAAATAGCAACCTACTTCCCCTCCAAATTGAGGGAACAGGATCAAGGGAATGAGAAAAGTAGAATAAAGCCCTTAATAAGCTTTTATAAAAAATGTTGGCAATTAATTCTCTTTGCTACCTTTGAAGATATAGATGCCTTTTGGTCTTTTGGGGAAGATAATCATTTTACCAAAGGGAAGTTTTTGTCCCCATTTGACTTCCTTTCTAAAGAGGCTCGGGATTGTAAAAGCAATAATAACTAATCATTTATTTATGCTATTTTGTAGAAGGAAGCATCTATTGGTTCTAAATATAACTGTATAGAGATGCTTTGTGTCAACAGCCCTGTATAGTTTTGAGAATCATCAGGTTTTTTCTTTGTGGTGGTAAAAGAGAAATTCATTATGAGAAAAGAATAAAAAGGTAAAATCTTGGTATTGAGTCGTTACCAATAATCCTAAAGCAAATAGACTCAGCTCCACCTTCCTTTCAATACAATATCACCACAACCAATTAGAAAAACAGAACAAAGAATAATGAAAAACACCTTCGTCCCTCCCCTACCAATTCCCTCAACCCACCAACTGACAAAATCAGGCTTTTCGTTACTTTCTTTTAAAATATCCTCCATGCTTTTCAAACAATGAAATTAATTTATATCTTTGATTTGTTGCATAAAAGAATGGTATTAAAATTATCATATCAAATGCTCCAACAGAATCTAAGAACCAAACTGCGAACATCTATTACAAACAAGATTTACTTATTTGATAAACATTTTAAAGGCCAATATATTTTCAATGAGAAAGGACATATACTTCATTATTTTAAGTTAAATTTGGCCTATATTGCCAAACTACAATAGGTAAAAGTAAAACGATATGAAAGAAGTGTAGAAATTGAAGCTATAAACATGATCACCTTACAAGCAGTATCAAACCCAAAACTTGTAGGAACCTCCTTGCACTTTAGATCACCATCGATGGTCTTTGGACATCCAATTACTCGTGTTTTCATCTTTTTTTCCCTAATTGGTAAAAAAAATGTGCAAAAGCGCATTAGGGGATCCTCTAGTACATAAGTAAACAGAGTTTTTTTTTTTTTTTTTTTTTTAAATTGTAACAATTATGCAGATCCAAAGGCAAGAATGTGCACAAGTATCAGAAACTATACCTGAAGTTTTCAGCGAGGAGACATGCATTTGTATTTGAGTCATCTCCACCAATAACAACAAGCCCATCCAAATCAAGCTTCATTGCTGTTTCTTCTGTTTGCTTAAACTGAAAAAGCATAATAAAGCATGCAGATTCGTTATTACCTCCCTCCTTAGCTAAATCTAGAAGATATAGATCTTCCAGTAAATTATCGACTGATTACAATTCACAAAACATATTGACTGAACTCCTGAACATCTTTAAGGAAGTAGAAGAGACACACCTGTTCTGGAGTTTCAATCTTGTCCCTTCCACTACGTATCATGTCAAATCCACCCTGTTCACAGAATTCAAATCTAGTCACTTGAAAGAGATCTCTAATGAAAAAATTGTCATACATATGGGGAAGTATTATATGCAACCACTACTTTCTTATTTGCCACTGTCTTATTTATTGCATGTTCATGCCCACACAAGCATATACGCATACATACATAACGCAGAAATCCACAATGCTATAGAAGACCTTCACATGCATACTGCATGCAGAACCGAGGATGTTAAATATTGTAAGAAACCACGAAGTTAACATTGTCTACGCACACATTCAACGAATCATATACCGACTTTATACATATGAATACTTGTTCAACCGAATTAGTTTAGAACTGGATTCAGTTTCTCTCAATCACCATTATGAAGTCTGTTCCAATGATGCCCATGCACATCAAAAAGCAAAACATTGTAATTGGTGAACACAAAAAAGCTCAAATATCCTACTTTATCGAGCATTTCACCCATTTGAAGCACGGTAAGTACTACCTTTTTTTTTTCTCAAGAAGATCTGTAGACTGTAGTGGATTTACATGATTATCAAAAGTCCGTATACGCTCAGATTGATTTGTTTCGAACAAATTAAGAGCCTCACCTGATTTCTGTAGGGAAAGATATAGTCCGCGGTCAGTTCCACATACTTGCACCTCATGATCCCAGCCGGACCACCCTTGAATCCATACAGTGTGCTACCCTTAGCACGATCCTGCAAGTAATCTAAACCCAAAGGAAAATAATAAATTTTACCAAAGAAAAACCAAACAAGCAGAATTCTTCCATCTTAGCTCCCCCTCAAAAGTACAAAAAAGAAAGAAAAAGGTAGAAGGAAAAAGATCCTTACCAAAAATTCCACAAATGACATTATGTCCTCCAGGAGCCTGGCCTCCAGAGAGCACAACACCAATTTTCAATTTTTGATCTGATGCCAGTGTCTCCTTTTCGCTAGGGACCAACGTTGAAGAAGGTTGCCCGAATAGATTGGGAAAAAGCTTAGCGATTTCGTCTGCAAACGTAAAATGGAAAAACTGAAGTTGAAAAGATGGAATAACAACGCAGAACTCATTGACTGCATCGAAAAACATAAATGTGTTAAACCGAGCAAGTCTTCCTTCTTCAGAGATAATGACCTGGGTTTCCAGAAGAGGAGCTAGGAGGACCTTCAACGATCTTAAAAGGGTTTTTAAGGACAGAAGGAAGAGGAAGACATTGGTTGAGCCGGTTTGTCTGAAGTTCGCTGTAGACTGAAATGAAACGGCCGGGGTTGGCCGCCTGGGCAGCCTTTCCGGTGGTACCATCGCTGTTAAGCATGACCGGAGCAGAGGAAGACATGTTCAAGGTGGATCGGCGGAGATGGTGAAGAGAGACCAGGAACGACGTTTGTTTTGCGATTTCAGTCACTTGAGTAAAAGTCGGTTATGGCAATAAAGGACAAAATCGTCTTTGGGGTTTCCGCTCAGGAGGTTATTGTGAATTGCAGTTTCAACTCCAAATGGTGCATGAGGGTATTATGGGAATTAAATACTGTTCCGAATAGCGACACAAAAACTGCCGATTGATGCGGTACTGAAAACTCTACACCGTCCATGTGGGCAACAATTTGATTCATTCTTCGTTGACGCGGATCGTGTGATATACCACGTCTCAACATACATGGATTTCTAGTGTTCCTGATATCCCAAACAGTGCCACGTAATTGACAGTTGAGAGAATTGTGTACAGATGTCTAGGCTCAAAGAAAAAAAATCCACTTGTATAATATATATCCGATGATGTTTTTTTAGTATAAAAGGATTCACTAAAAACATCAACATACAAAACTAACCCCTTTTACGGAAAGTCCTAAAGGGGGCATCTTAGTGCCATTTTGGCAAATCTTTTTCAGAAGACCTATTGGAAGATCCGATCGTTAAAAAACCTGTTGGGCTTTTGCAAATAGATCCGGGAAGACTAAAGATTTTTTGATTGAAACATTTTTAATAAATTTCTGAAAATATCATAAAAGTTGGGAGACCGTTTAATAATGAGATGAAAATATATAAATGTCTCATATGTGAGCCAACAAACCATTACATTTAATACATGTGGAACCCACATATAGGTCTAAATGTGCATTCCATAGTTGTAATTCCCACATGCAATCACCATAAATGGTCTTGCGTGTATTTTTCCAATGTAGGCCCCACACATACATATCTTTCATTATAGTCTAAAACTATTTTTTCAATGTGGGTTCCATATAAATATCAACATACATAATATGTAACGTGGACCCAAGAAACATTTCAACATAGGCATAATAGTCTGGGCTCCACATGCAATTCCAACTATATATCCCTCATTATGGAGTCCAAAACTATTTTTTCAATGTGGGTCCCACATACATTTAAACATATGCTTAATACGTAATATGGGCCCCACATACATTTCAACATATATATAATATGTAATGTGGGACCCACCTATATATACCATTAGTGGGCCCACTTATACATTCATTTTTGTACATGTTAATAGCATAATAACCTTAATTTTAATATTACAACTTTAGCATTGTGTAACTACAAAGCATATCCAAAATGGAAAATCCATACACTAGTTCATGATAGAGGTATACTAACCCCACTTCTAGTGGTATCTATTCTACTTCCAGACCAACAAAATGATAATCAAAATTAGTAAAAACAGGATCAAACACATCATGGCACAACAACAAAAACAAGCCCCAATTGCAACAACCCGCTCTTTCTTGTAATCTGCATGTTCATGAGCAATATTATGTTGTTCAATGATGCGGACTTCGCGTTCTTCTGGGGTGTAGTTATCTGCCCACATGAAGTCATATTCATGTGGCTAGAAGAAAAAAAAATGTTAATAATTTTCAATCCATGTTAGACACAAATATTGATCAATATGGGCTTTTGGGTATTGGACTTATACCTCACCGGTTGGACATTTATAAAACCATCTTCCATAATTTTTCTCAGTTTTTGCCATCCACAATTTCATACGTCCATGGCCACATGGACACATCGGCGCCCTTAGATTTGTTGCCATTACTAAATAACAAAACAATTGAACATCACATCACATCACAATAAAATTATTTTTGACCTAACATCTAATTTGTGAAATTTCCTACAAGCACATGATCACTAGTCAAGAACATACCAATGCCATAATTATATAGTTAAAAAACACATAACCATTAATTGTTCAATAATTCATTGAAATCCCTAATTAATTTGATTGCCTCCTATGTATACTTCTTGGGCAGGTGCAATTGACACGTAAGTTGTAATGATCAGCCATTTTGAACATAATTTCATTATGAACTTGTTCCATCCGCCTAGATGCTTGGGATCCTACGTCGATAGTTGTCGGTGTTGTACCATGAAACATTCCTCCCTTTCCTTCAATAGGAACACCATCTTGAAGGAAACCACACCAAAATACATCTTGTATTCTCGATAGTCGAATGAAATTATGTAGCACACAACAAGCAAATACAATTCTAATATGCTTGTGAAGTGGGTATGGAGGCGTCAATTTTAATGTTGGGAATCTTGCCTTAAGGACACCGAAGCAACGTTCTATGACATTCCTCAATGAAGAATGAACATAATTAAAATACTTTTCGGCATTCTTGGGTCGACCACCTCTTCCTTAAAAGTCTCTGAAATGGTATCTCTCTGATCGATATAGAGACAAAACTCTAGGCATATTTGTATAACCCGAGTCAACTACATAATATTTTCCTATATGATAGCACAGATGTTAGTGTATTGAATACAAAATTCCAGTGGGTTATTTGATAGTTTTGCTAACATTCTGGTGGTAGCGGGAACATATTGGCGGGGTTCTGAACTGTTTCCAAGAAAACTCTTGAATCATGTGCAGCACCCTCCCATCCTGTCTCAACAAAAGTGCAGAGCATGTCAAACAAACATGCACACATCACATTATGGGTGGTTGTTGATTTTCTTCCCCTAAATGGAACTTGATCACCAGATGAAACACAAGCATGAACATGTGTTCCATCTATTGCACCTACATAATTCTGCATATGAAAAAATAATCAAGCTTGGTGATATATTTTTTATTGAAGAATAAAGAATTAAAATAATATCTCTCATATAGTATGAGATACCATGAACCATGGATAATATTTTGGATTGTTGAGTATCTCAGGTGGTACAACAATTAGATCACCGGCTCGTACAATTTCCTTCCCAAATTCACAAATTGCCTTCAATGTGGAATTAAAGTGTCGTGAAATGATTTCCCTAGAGTGTTGAAAGTGGTCTGCAGTATCTCGATTTGATTTGTTGTGTCCTATGATCTTTAAAAGAATTCTAACCTGCTCATCAGCTAATACGTATCTACTATCTTTCACTAACCCTCGTTGTCTCAAATGATTCTAGGGTCATTTTAAACATTTCCAAACACCTATTACCTTATGATGGAGGGTGATTTGGCTCGACCTCATAATAGGGGGACGCGTGGACATGACTCGACATAAGTGACAACTCGGCATAACAGCCTGGCCGCGACTTGGCGTGATGAGCTCGTAGGAGCCTAGCCTGACAGCTCGGCACGGGCAGTAGCTTGCTACAAGGTAGTATTTAGGTTACCCCAAACTCTCTCCCAAAAGGGGAGCACCCCGAGGTCCCTCAGCGAGGAGCCCCGAGCTCCTCCCAAGTAAGGAGCCCCCGAGCTCCCCCTCAGTAAGGAGCCCTGAGCTCCTCCCAAGTAAGGAGCCCCCGGGCTCCCCCTCAGTGAGGAGCCCCCGAGCTCCCCCTCAAGAAGGGAGCATCCCGATCTAAGATCCCTGGGTAAGGAACATCCCGAAGTGAAGGCACTCCGGGTAAGCTCACCAGTAGGCTCCTGCCCAAACCTAAGTAACTGCCTCAAAGACTTACTTCGGGTAGAAGCACTTCGATATGTCAGTAGTAGCTCGGCACCAGGTAACTCAGTGTATCGCCTGACAAACGTACATGCCAGATTTGGAGACTGCACACGTCTCTGGCCAGGCGGCGTCGTGCGTGCCAGGCTCTGGCAAGCGTCCCCTGCGCCCACTACCTCAGGTCTGGCAGTAACGGCTGCAATAGAGAGTCAGTGGTGGTTACGCCAGAATTAACAAGGCATCAGTATAAAAAGGCCCCGATCCCCAAGGGACAAAGGCAATTGCATTCACGCTATCTGCACTCTAGCTTTCTTCATCTTCTCTACAATTTTCTCTCAGAGTTCTAACTTAAGCATCGGAGTGTTCCCGCCGGGCGAGCTCCCCGAGAATCCTTCATCCTCTTCCTCTTCTCAGGTACCGTCCGTCGCCAGCTTGGAGTGTGGCCCCTTTCCAGGTAGGAGTGACCAGGTCGTGCATCATCAATTGGCGCTGTCTGTGGGAACGCTTCAAAAAGCCTTCCACCAAAACGTTGCAGACTTCAGTTCTCATGGCTTCCTCTAGCAACGCCGGACGTAGTGCAGAAATGAACACCACCGGGGACCAACTCCAGGTCCCAGCGGTGTGTATTGGACAGTTCATCGTCCCCCTCTTTGCGGATGGAGTTCCCATTCTAAACGTGCCTTAGACAAAGGAACCCGTGAATGCTCCACTCCCTTTCACGGTTGGAACAACCTTCACCGAACCCTCCCTTGTTCCTCCGGTGACCACCCAAAACTAGCTTGAAAACCTGGTGCAATGCATGCGAGCTATGCAAGCTCAGATGCAACAGGTCCAGCAATTCCAACTATATTAGCAGCAAGTGTTGCACCAAGTTTCTCAGCATCACTACCAGTAGCAGTTTCCTCCGCTGCCTCAGACCTAGTAACCACTTCCTCCTCGACATCCGGCTGCACAACAAGCCAAGCCTCACTGTCAGAACGAATGTCCTTCTCGCCGGGGAGAGACCTCTTAGACCTAGAATCCTCTCAAGAGTCAAGTCTCATCCCTTGGGAGGAAGGAAAGACCAGTTACCCCTACCTCGCCGTGCGCAATCAGGTTGGGAGGGTCCCTGCCTACCAGACCCGCATCACCTCAGTTTTCCGAATTCGTGGCCCCGCTTGTGGAGAACCGGTTCGAGGTCTTGGCCGCAGACTCCAAGCAAGATCCCTTTATCCGCAGCCATCACCAGCAATCTGTCCCCCTCCCTGCAAAAACTGTGCCCGACAATACCGAGGCCAGTAGCACCAATGCGGAGCCCACAAAAAAGCAGCGGAGACGTCGCCCAGCTCGCCGAACTGCAACACACTACTTGCCCGAACTCAAAGGAAAAGAAGAGGTAAGCTTGGGCAAAGCGAAAGCCACTCCGCTCCTCTCTGTACCATCCCCTCTGTCTCCGGAACTCTTGGCCGTC